TTTAAGTATGTATTAAGTTCCTCATATAATTATCCTCTTTCTCTCCATCTCCCTTTTTTGGTGAGGGTGGGCCAGGGGACCAGGGTGTCGAGTCCTTGGCATGATCAGAATTGCTGGCCCCCAGCCCTGTGAAGTGTGTTCAGTATTGAACGTCCTTGCAATGAACTAACTTGATCATTTGTATACCCCCTCTCACTGAGAACCTTAAGTCCTCATGTTTTCAGAAAGTTCCTCCTCAGAATAGTCATGACTTTGTAGTGGATTTGGCAACAGTAACCAACAATCATTTACTGAGCACATGATATACCTGGAGCTGGGCGAGATACCAGGGCTACACAGGAAGCTGGTTAGGATCCCTGCCATCAAACCTTGGATGGTGGAGTTGGGGGGGTGGGGGTGGGGGTCAGTCAGGGTCGTTCAGGCCATTGTAATATGTGTGAGCACTGTCAGGAGAGCACAGGTGAGGAGAGTTAAAGGACCACCTAGGGAGGTCATGGAGCCCAGACTTGGGGAGGCCACGGAAAAGTGTGCTAGATAATGTAATATTAGGCTAATATTTGAAGATGAAGGATTTAGCTAGGCATTAAGACAAATGAATTAAGTCTGTAACACACCATGTGGAGCCCCAGAACTGACAGGCTTATTTTCCCCCAGAAGCTGCATTACAGTGTAGCATTTCAAGAACGGACTCCACCATTAGGAGAGCTGAAGTGTTGGTACTACCCTCTAATTCACTCTCGCACAATACACTACCCAGTTGTGGATTGTTGCTTCAAAATTGTTTTCCAATTGTTCTTAGAAGTGCTAAAACATTGATTTTTATCTATCTAGCAAATTCCCACTTGACTGAATTGAAGAAAAACTGATAGAGAATTTATTTTCTGCTTTCTGGGTTCTTGCCATCTTTTTTTTAACTTTTTATTTTATACTGGAGTGTAGTTGATTAACAATATTGTGTTAGTTTCAGGTGTGCAGCAAAGTGATTCATATACATATACATGTATCTATTCTTCAAATTCCTTTCCCATTTAGGTTGTTACATAATATTGAGCGGCATTCCCTGTGCTATACAGCAGGTCCTTGTTGGTTACCTATTTTAAATGTAGACATGTGTACACCTCAATCCCAAACTCCCTGACTATCCCTCCCCCCCCCACCCTCCCTCCGGTAACCATAGGTTCCTTCTCTAAGTCTGTGAGTCGGTTTCTGTTTTGTAATAAGTTCATTTGTATCATTTTTTTTTTTAGATTCTGCATATAAGCGATATCACACAATATTTCTCTTTCTCTTTCTGACTTACTTCACTCAGTATGACAATCTCTAGGTCCATCCTGGGTGCCTGCCATCTTAATGACCGGATGAATTATCAGAGAAAGACTCTAGAAGCTGGTGTGCTCACCCAGCCTTTCAGGCTCTTCATTAGGGATTCTTTCATCAAGTCCACACTCTCACAAAAGGAGCTAAATGAAAGGCTGGTTAAGCTAACGGAAACAGTTTTGACCACATTCTTTTTTAAAATTTTAGTTTCTCTAAGGTTTCATTTCAAAGACTTAATTTTAAATGAAGAGAGGTCTATACATAAAACATGAATGAGTGTTTGAGACATTTATATTAAGGTTGAGAATAATATGTGGCATAAATTTGCTGTTACAGAGACAGGAAAATATGGTCCAAGAAAACAAGAGGACTTTGTTTAACTCCCTCTGAAAATGCATCTGTTTACCTCACCATTTTTTTAAATTATCTAACTCTTAATTGGTTCTTTATCATACTTCCAAGATTTTTCTTTCACCCTCTGCAGTTACGAACTTGTGGTTTGTTTTGGAATATGGAGACAAACAGAAAATACCTTGGTCACACATTCGTTACCTTGAAAGATTCATGATTTTATTGTTTTTGTAAAAATAACATAGGTTTTCTTTAAAAAGCAATACTAGAAAAATAAGAGGAAATAAAAACTATTCAGAATACTATCGCTCAGAAATCACCATCATTAGTATTTGCCAGATGCTATTCTAGACATCTATGTATTTCTACAGTAATAGAATGAGAGGAATCAAAAGGATATAAAATGAAATGTGTGTCATATTATACGTGTTATCTTTAAATAAGAAGTATGAGATTTAACTTTACTTGAATTTAACAGAATAGAACTGAAGTGAAATGAAAATAATTGGTGAACTTGGTATTTTCTCAAAATAAGAAATTATCGGAAGATTCTTCTAAAGTCAAAAAATTAGGAAAAACTTTGGGCTTCCCTGGTGGTGCAGTGGTTGAGAATCTGCCTGCTAATGCAGGGGACACGGGTTCGAGCCCTGGTCTGGGAAGATCCCACATGCCGCGGAGCAACTAGGCCCGTGAGCCACAACTACTGAGCCTGCGCGTCCGGAGCCTGTGCTCTGCAACAAGAGAGGCCGCGATAGCGAGAGGCCCGCGCACCGCGATGAAGAGTGGCCCCCGCTTGCCACAACTAGAGAAAGCCCTCGCACAGAAACGAAGACCCAAGACAGCCAAAAACATAAATAAATAAACAAATGTGGGGTTTAAAAAAAAAGAATTTAGGGCTTCCCTGGTGGTGCAGTGGTTGAGAGTCCGCCTGCCGATGCAGGGGACACGGATTCGTGCCCCGGTCCGGGAGGATCCCACATGCCGTGGAGCGGCTGGGCCCGTGAGCCATGGCCACTGAGCCTGCGTGTCCGGAGCCTGCGCTCCGCAACGGGAGAGGCCACAACAGTGAGAGGCCCGCGTACCGCAAAAACAAAAAACAACAACAACAACAACAAAAGAATTTTAAAAAAAGGAAAAACTGAAATTATAATGATTTGAAATATATATATTTTTAAACTTTGGATAATATCCTATGACCCATTGCTGGGAAAAGTGAAGGAATTAGCACTTTGAAAAGTCTTCTGTCCTCTCTTTTCCTCTCCCCCGGCACCCACCCTTGCTGTTAGCTATAAACCTTAACTTTTACCTTCTATCCTATACCCACACCACCACAGTTGCTTAATTTAGTTCTATAGCTTAATCACAGCTTCTTACTCTTTGTTTTCATTTTCTTGTGGGTGGATGAATTTAACTGCCAACTCCTGTCTTGAGTTTGGGCGTGCTTGAGAATGTAGGATTCAGATAGTTAAGAGGAAATTCACATTTAGAACCATGTGGGGATTCCAATATATCTCACTTGGTACTTAACCTGGGACTCAGAGGGGCCTCAGGTTTTTCCTGGTACGTCCCTCTAATGGAACCATCCTACAGTCTCCAACCAGCATTTAGAAATCTCACTTCCTTCTCTCTTTCCTTGACCTTTTCTGTTCCCCAGCCCCTGTCCAGAAAAGCCCCTTCAACCAACTATACTGTCCACCTTTAAAGCCACCTTTCACAGCTTAAAATTGCCAGCCCCTCCTCCTCTGGTTTCAGGGAAGCCAGTAAGGAGTGTCCAAATGTGCGTGATCTTCCAAAACACCGAATTGGAAACCCAGTTGTGTGACTCACTTGACTTTCTTGGTTATTAAGGACCTTTTGTAAGGTTTGTAAGGACGTTTTTCAAGTGACAATTTTGACTGTAAAAACAAAAATCACAGTGGTGGAAGAAGGTAGACATGAGTAGGAAAAAAATTGCAGTCAGAATGGAATTTACTTCTCCTGAATTTTATGGCTACCTATAAATATGGAATTTACATATTTAAAATTTTCTTAGTTCCATTTTAATTATTCTGTGTTCATTAGGATAACAAATTCATAAATTGTGATCTCTTTGCTTGCCAGCGAGGGGCATAAAGTATGGAATTGCTCATCCTTTGTCCCAACAATGAATTGCTACAGAGCAGTCATAAATGAAAATTCTTTTCCTGCCCACGGCCTTCATTAATGCGCCAGAAGCACTGTCCTTATTTAACCACCTGCTGCCCTGATTTCCCATATACTAACTGCTCTACAACATCTGCTCACATGTAAGAGGTAAATATTCCTTGCTTAGAAGCAGAATCTTTGAACTCAGGATTACAGGGGAAAAGTAATATAGCCTAATCAAATCTTTCTAGAATAAGGTTGAATATGTGAATTCCTTTAAAAAAAAATAGTAAATCTCTCCCTTGGGGATTATAAAGCAAGCTCTTTCACAGGCCTTCAGTTTCCCAATCATTGTTGGTACATAAGGTAATTTTAGGTGAATGTGACCATGTTTATTTTCAGTCATGCTTTTATTTTACTATACAATTAGAAACGTATCTAGCAAAATGGTAATTATACAAAGTTTCTTAATGTAAGTAAAAAGTGAACCAATTTAAAGAAAATGCAAACTAAATAATAGTATAGATAATGTGCAGATATGGCAAAAAATTGTGAGGATGTTGTGCCAATGAAACATGAGGATGTGGAAATCAGAAATACAGAGGTACAGCAAAAATTGCACAAATGTGCAAGAGGGGAATTTGGAGATAAAAGAACTTGGAAACGGGGGAATACGAAAATCAGACCTATTTAAATTAACCTACTTAAGTTATGCATATTACAAATTCAGGTTTTTCTCTATTAAAATCTACATGTCTACTGCAGTGGTTCTCCACGAATCATCCACAGAGACACGCACCACGGCTCTCCCGTGTGCCAGGCATGCTTGTGGAGACGCACAACTCCCTGCCTGATCTCTAGCTCCCCCTCTCGCCACCACTCCAGGAAGTGTTTGGAAGACAGACAAACTGGAAATGGGATAATAAGAATAACCTTTACTCCACTCTAATTCATTTTTAGTAAATTATTTACTTATAGGTACTTTTTTTTAAGTTAACTTAAAAAAAACCTTTTACTCACAAAGGTTTTGCGGCACACCAGTGATGGATTGCCACATGCCAGAGTGTCAGTATACCTGAGAAACGGTGGTCTGACAACTGGTTTTGGTCTCACATATCATGTGCAGTGCTTCTTGTTGGGGAATTTGTGCTTTGGGGACTGTTTTCCTCTCACCTAACAATATCCTCTTCTCTCTTTAACACCTATAGGCTGTAGGGCGGGAACTGCTGCTCCATTTAATTGAATATCTTGTAACCAGCGATGGAAGAGACCCTGAAATCACAAATCTAATTAATAGTACCCGCATACACATCATGCCTTCAATGAACCCAGATGGATTCGAAGCTGTTCTAAAGCCTGACTGTTTTTACAATAAGGGAAGGTAAGCACGGGCTAGTCTATCTTTATTTAAAACACAACAAAAGCATAAAAAGGCCCCCATCAGATCAGACCCCTTCGCCCTGTAAAGAGAAGTTAGCGAACCATCTCATAACCTGTGTCTTGTCGCTGCTGTGCTGGAAACTTTTCAGGGCTGCCCATTGCTTTGACCTTGAGAAGTAAAATCCTGAGCAAGGCTGCTTTACCCCTGCGCCTGCCTCACTGCTCCGGCTTCATTGCCTCTTCCCCCGCACTCACCCTGCCGCAACCGCTCAGACCTCCTTTCATCTTCTGCAACCACCAGCTGCCTTCTCACCCCTGGCATTTCCCACCCCTCCCCCCCGCACCCTGCTTCAACAGCATTTCCTTAAAGCCTCCTTCCCTAACCTATCAGATATTAGAGCCCCAATTATTCTCACATCACCTGGCACTTTACCCTCATAGCACAATCTTTAATGTCTCATTTCTTGTTTAATGTCTACCTGAGGGCAGGAAAGCTGCCCGTTGTGTTCATCCCTCTTAAATCCCAGGGCCTAGGGTAGTACCTAGACCCTCAATAAACAGGTTGATTTATTAAGCCAGCACACGATCTAATCACAAAGAAGAGTGAGTCTTGTAGTATTTCTGATTTAAAGTTTATTGTGTTTCAAGCAGCCTCAGGAAGTTTGGAATTTCTCAAATGTCTGATAAACACTGACATTTGTGCAATTAAAAATTTGTTTTTACCAAAGATTAATAAATCACCACTTGATTCCCTTCCACGTTTAAGTTTCTTAGCCTATTTAAACATGGCCAGTCCAGTTTTCAGAAATACATTTGTATAAAATAGCATGTTCCTGTTGTTTCTGTTACCAATTGCTATGGAACAAACTGCCCCTAAATTGAGGGACTTAAAACAACCACCTCTTTACTCTCCACTCTGTAAGTTAGGAATTTGGACAGGGCAGAGCAGGGATGGCTAATCTCTATGCGATGATGTCAGGGGCTTCAGCTGGGGTCTGGCTGCGACCGTATCTCTAGAGTCTCAGTTCTGGCTGTCACCTGGGTTCCTCATTCTTGCACATGGACCCTTGACGTGGATAGCACTGGGGTCTCAGGGTTCCAAATGAGAGTGTCAAGAGCAAAAGCCCCAAAATGCAAACACTTATCTGACCTCTGCTTACATCCGAATCACTACTGTCCCATTGGCAAGAACAAGTCACACGGGAGGGGACAACATATTGTGTGAATGCCAGCTGTGATTCACTGGAGGCTGCCAAGGCAACCATCCACCACCTCTGTATTCATATTTGGAAAAACACCTGGAGCCCAAAGCAAAGGTCTACACACTGCACGAATCTGCTCCCTCAGACAGCAGTAGTAAACCCTAAAAAATTCTTTCTTTTAAAGGGAAAATAGTAACTTCTATGACCTGAATAGAAATTTCCCCGATGCTTTTGAATTTAATACTGTACCAAGGCAGCCTGAAACTGTGGCAGTCATGAAGTGGCTGAATACAGAGACATTTGTCCTTTCTGCAAACCTCCACGGTGGTGCCCTGGTGGCCAGTTACCCATTTGATAATGGTGTTCCAGGTAAGCAAACTTGGGCCCAGCTCTTGCTTTCTAAGTCCAGAGTGAAACTGCAAACTCTCTGCCTCTGAATGGGGATACACTCTTCCTCTCCCCACTTAACTTCTCTGGCAGGGATAGAAAGAGCTCCATTCTCTTGACCCCCAGCTATCCTTCCTACAATTTATAAACAGTAGATGGGCAAGGTGGCTGAACTGAAAACAACACGGGATTACTTGACATTCATCAGTGAAACAGTAAAATTGGGACTTAAATTAGCCCACAAGAGGCAACACGGCTAAATAAATAAATAAAACTAATCATGTAAGTAATAGTTCCTGATTCCTCTTAAAACTGGGATAAGGTATGTACCAAGGACTTAAAGTATTTGAGTGGCTTCGTTTAATCCCTGCAGTACCTAAGGAAAGTTTACTGACCTCCAGAAATCAGCAAGGGTGACTAAGAGGGTATTTAACTTTTAAGCTGACTGAGAAGGAGTTTAGACATGGACATGGGTGTTTTGTGTGATATTGCCTTCTGTATGTCCATTAAAATCTAGGAAGAGGAGTAAAGGGGGTATTCGTGGAAGTGGGGAGAGGATCTCACTAGGAAATTAGAGCCTTTGTGTGTGATGTGATGATGTGTGTGCTAATACGGTGTGTGTTTCCTCCGACTATAACTTCAACTAAAAGGTCTTCGTCTGTCTTTCACGTACAGCCACTGGAACATTATACTCTCGGAGCTTAACCCCTGATGATGATGTTTTTCAATATCTTGCACGTACCTACGCTTCAAGAAATCCCGACATGAGGAAAAGAAATCCATGTAGAACTAAAATAGAGTTTCCTGGTGGAATTGTAAATGGATACTTTTGGTATCCACTCAAAGGTGGGTTTCTCTTCGTTCTGCTATTCTCCTTACTGCCTTCACCCAGAGGTGCCAGCTGGCCTTCACCCCAGCAGTTGCCAAAAGTTAGGCACAGTGCAGTCCCTTCAGTCATATCTCTGTCAGCTAATATCACAGAGCATTGAGGGGAACTGATCATTTGAGAGATGCTCAGAAATGTTCCCCACTGCCAAAGCCTCCTGAGTTCAGACACTGGTTCAGCATTTACCTTGGAGCTGGGAACTGTGCCAAGAAAGATGAACAGGACACAGATATTAAGCCCAAGTTTAACAGAGAAGAGCAACATACAACTAAATAATTGTGATGGCATGTAATGTGAATAAAAGTAGAGATTTAGGGCTTCCCTTGGTGGCGCAGTGGTTAAGAATCCGCCTGCCAATGCAGGGGACACGGTTTTGAGCCCTGGTCTGGGAAGATCTCACATCTTAGTTGCACGGAGCAACTAAGCCTGTGCATCACAACTACTGAGCCTGCGCTCTAGAGCCCACAATCCACAACTACTGAGCCCGCGTGCCACAACTACTGAAGCCCACATGCCTAGAGCCCGCACTCCGCAACAAGGAGAGCCACTGTAATGAGAAGCCCGCCACCGCATCGAAGAGTAGCCCCTGCTCACTGCAACTAGAGAAAGCCCGTGCACAGCAAGGAAGACCCAACGCAGCCAAAAAAAAAAGTAAAATTTTTTAAAAGTAGAGATTTAGAAAAGGTACAGTGTATCACAGGGGTGTAAATCCAAAATACATCAGGGAGTAGTGAAGGCCTTAGAGACATGTAATGCTTATGTCTCACCCAGTGGGGACAGCTGCTACTTAGAACAAGGTAATTATTGCCATGCAGCAGTGGGGGGCAGTATTGCCAGATCTTCCAGTTTGTGAAGCAAGCTGGATATTTCCATGAAGTCTCCTGATTTTAAAACCACTTTGCAGGCTAAACAAAAGAGCCCTCTAGTTTTTCTCCCTTGGAACAGGACGGCCAGGCGAGGGAGGGAGTGAGAAGCTGGCCATGTAGGGAACGTGGCGGAGGGTTGTTCTTGTCAGAAGGAATAATATAAGCAGAAGCCCAGGGGTGTCAGAGTCCTAGTCTGGAAACTGACAGAGAATAGGAGGGACCTAGGACAGAAGGGTGAGAGGGGAGACAGTGGGCTGGAACCAGGTTTCCACTGCCTCAGTGGAAAGTGCCCCCTTCCAGACTGGTCAGCTGACCCTACCAACAGCAACCCCCATCCTGCATTTCTGCGCACAGGCTGCTTCCTCAGTTGTCACTTTGGATGCACAGGTTATCAAGTAGTCTTGCACAAGCTGGGACTTTTGTGTCTGGGCAGGTCTCTGCCAGCTTTCCAGATAATATAAATAAGCATAGACCACAAGTGAGAGGAACCGGGACCAGCCAGATACCACAACATCCCAAACTTCTCTCCGATGTCCGAGAGACAGCCTCCGCACTCCCACCACAGGGCTGTAGCCTAGTCCCCGCTCACTACTCTCCATAGGGAGGAGAGGGCCCCCTCCCGCCCAGTGGCAGTGCTGTCCTTCATGTGCATTGTCTCTAACTTTCAAGACAGATCCAGATGTGTGGGAGATTAACTAGGAACCTAATTTTGCTATTGGGAGCTGTTCCCAAGTGTGCCTGTGTCAGCTGTGTATCTCTGTGAGAAAAAAAGAGGGCAGAGCCAGAAACTTTGAGGCGCTTAGAACAGAGCATTCTGGCTCAGCCTGGAGGTTTTTTCGGCCAGGCCTGACTGGCATTATCTGGAGTGGCACATACCCTCCACACTTGGTATTCTCCATCCAGCGTGCTTTGCACACCTGTTTTGCCATTTAACTTCTACCTGAGACACAGCCATCCAGCCAAGGGCTTTTGTTTAGTTTCATTTCTCTCTTCCTTTTTTCCTTCTTCTATTTCTTGGTGAAAATGAGGTCAGAGAGAAATACAAAACTTGTAAGTAAAGGAAAAGAAAGGACAGAGTAATTCTTCCTGGCTAAAATCTGTACTACATAGATATTACTCAATGTTTACATAATATTTTGATGCTCATTTTATGAGCATAAATTTTGTTTACTTCATTACCTCCCAAATACCCTGATGAAATTGAGGATATGTATTTCGCTGGGCAGATATCAAGTATAACTAATAACTAAGTAGTCTCTCTGGCAGAGACTACTTCCTTCAAAGTTACCATATTTCTTCAAATCCAAGATGTCACTGATTGTAAAACATGTCCCACCAAGAAAGAAAAAAGTTTCCAGCCAAACTAATAACCCAATGATGTTATTCAGCCATCAAATTTAAGATACTTCCCAATTCAGAGATTTTAAAATATGAAAAGTTTTGCATCTTAGAAAATATAAAATACGGTTATAACCCTTTGAAAACAGGGAGTTGAGAGGTAAGAACTAGAAAGTGAGCATGGGCAGTGGTAACCCCAGAAGTACCAGGGGCCTGGGTCTTCCCCTGCTCCCTGAGAATCAGCATGGCACCCTCCCTCTCATCCCCAAACGCAGTGCGGTGTGATGGCTGAGAGCATGGGGGTGCTAGGAAGATCGCCTGTGCTCCAGTCTCAGCCATTCACTGGCAAGAATCCCTGGGCACATGACCTACCATTTGTGATTAAGCTTCCTCATCTGTAAAATACGAGTGATAATTACTGTGAGGATTAAATGAGTGGATGGTGAAGCTCTTCAAACAGTACCTAGCAAGAGCAAACACTCAGTAAACACTGGCCATTATTATTCCTCCAAATTCATATACTTAGCTTTACAGAATAAATGTGTTTGTGAATGGTTTGTAGAAATATTTTAAAAGAAATCTCACTCTAGTTTATATCTGTTTAAAATGTAATTTAGGAAGAAATGTAACTTGAAGAATCCTTTTTTTTAAAAAAATAAATTTATTTATTTATTTTTGGCTGTGTTGGGTCTTCATTGCTGTGCGTGGGCTTTCTCTAGTTGTGGCGAGCAGGGGCTACTCTTCGTTGTGGTGTGTGGGCTTCTCATTGTGGAGCACAGGCTCTAGGCACACGGGCTTCAGTAGCTGTGGCTCGCGGGCTCTAGAGCGCAGGCTCAGTAGTTGCGGCACACGGGCTTAGTTGCTCTGTGGCATGTGGGATCTTCCCAGACCAGGGACTGAACCTGTGTCCCCTGCATTGGCAGGCGGATTCTTAACCACTGCGCCACCAGGGAAACCCTTGAAGAATCCTTTTTGTAATTGTGATTTTTAAAAAGGACCCTTCCTCTACCCCTCACTTAATTTTGATGCACAGCTAAACATCAGTCAGCTCTGATTCAGTTACCCATATGGGAGTATTTAGGATTGCTTTGTCGTGCCTGGATAATAAAATGTGAAGCTCTAATTGTACTTGCTAATATGTCAAATTCATCTTTTCCTGTTTACGTGTACTTTCATAACAACTGTCTGATTCACCTGTCCCCAAGGTACGTGATACTTGGCTTCACTCCAATTTCAGACCTTAAAAAAAATTAAATATGCTCGTGTTTAGGTGGAATGCAAGATTACAACTACATCTGGGCCCAGTGTTTTGAAATTACGTTGGAGCTGTCATGCTGTAAATATCCTCGCAAGGAGAAGCTTCCAAGCTTCTGGAATGAAAACAAAGACTCACTGATTGACTATATAAAACAGGTGCACATAGGTTTGTAAGATTTTCTTATTAATTCCTGTTAACACAAAATATAGCATCTGGCAAACCCTCTGGGCTGAGAAAATGCAAGCCCCTATTTATGTTTTCTAGGTATAGCCTCATTTTTAGTACCAGAACAATGGTTCAGAATTCTCTCTGCATGAACATCTGCAGCCTGTGAGAAATGCAGCGCCTATCGGTTCATGTAAGAGAAAGCATGGTGTTTGTTACTTTAATATGGGGGTGTAAAATCCAGGGTACTTCTAATTTTACAAGTTGAATGACCTGGCAATCTGGCAAAAGATCAGGAAAACAGGCTGTTACTCTGTTACATTATCACCCATTTAGAAAGAAGCCAAGTTTGCTTGTCACTTGCCATATAATATCACAGACCAGAGAACTTTGGACATGCCATTTTGCATTTTTTCTAGAACTGGGGTGGTTACCTAGCACCGTTAGCTTCAACCCCTCCCACCTCTCAACTCTGCCAAATGACCTGGCATTGGGAGTCTTTGCAGCCTGTTTTTTGATGGCTGTCGGGCCTTTATCACAGATGAGCAGACTTAATGTGACAAGAGTGGTCCTTCTCAAACATGTGCAGCAGACTCACCAGGCGGGTTTGTTAAAACGAGATTGCCAGGCCCCATCCCCAGAATTTCTGATTTAGTGGGTCTGGAATGATTAACATCTTCCCTGGTGATACTGACGCTGCCCGTCCAGGGACTACTCTTCGAAAACCACTGTACTAGAGCAACACATTGCTTGTGATGATGATGGAATCCTGGGCAGGGTGTGGAAGGCTCTTCTGCATTGCCCGGGTTAGTTATTTTTCTCCATTCGGAACCGCTTGGGGGACAAAGGTATCAGGAATTAGGGCGACAGTTATAGGGCGACAGTTATGCTACCACATCAAGCCAAAGTGGAGGACGTGTGTTTGTGCTGAAGAGGTTTGCATCACGGGCCTGCTGCATAATTGCATAATTCCTGGATTTTCTGCATGCTTCACACCAAAGCTTCCCACCTGCTGAAAAGAGATGGAGATGGTCGAGGCAGGGAAGAGTCAGAAGCAGAGGGGTACAGGGCTGAGTGCAAGGACAATTAGGAGCTTCCCTTGGCCACACATCCCTAACATGGCTACTCCTTCCCCCTTTCATATTTGACTCCCAACCTCTTCACCCCCATGACACAAGTACACAAAGATTATTTTTGAATTGGCAGAGCTGCATCTAACTGGCTGAGACATTTATGGGGTAGGTTGATGGGGGAGATTACAAAATGTCATCTTTCTTTTTCACCAGCATCTGAATAATTTTTATTAAGCTTATTATTGGGTCTTTCTCCTTTTTCATTATGTCACCAGACTTTGTATTCTGGTATGTCTCTACTTGACTTTTCTCATGAGGCACATTTCTACTTTTACTGTATTTCTACCTATATCAACTTTTAGTGTGTACTCTGTCCTTTTCTAAAATTCCTCCTTCAGAAGCATCAGCATGGGAGTGCAACTGAACACGAAATACACTCCATGAACTGCACTGCTATCTTGGAAATTTCAGTCTAGCTGGAAAGGTTATTTACTGAGCCCTGAATTAAGGTGGGCTCTGAAGTATCCTGCTGAAATAACATTGCCAGTGAAGGAGCTTTGTCAGCTGTTAAATAACATACAAGTTACAGCCTAACCATTGTTATTTATTAATTTAAAGTGCTTACTAGTCCATTTAACTAGGTTTTATAAAGAATATTCATACATCTACCTATCCCTATAATCAGATGTGCACAGCTTACTTTAAAAAAACATATGTACATATTAACACATCAACCCTACCCCCTGTGGTTTAAGACAGGGTTTTTTGTTTTCTAGTTCAATAATGAAACCCTATTTCAGAACACTGATACAGTGTGGTTACTGTTACTTGATAGAGAGGTTCTCTCCTTATTGGTGCCCAATAGGAAGCCAAAGAGTATCTTTGATTGTGAGTAATGGAAGCAAACATCTTTTTGCCGCTATTGCTCTGGTTTAAGAAAATCACTGATGTTTGTCAAGCTGCATCACGTTCACTGGTTCAGCGTCACCACTTGCTAAGATGGTCTCTGAGATTTCCAGATGGGTCAAAGTCTCTGGCCTACCTTGTCTGGGAAGGAAAGGCCTCCTGCTCTAATGGGAGGACTAGGCCTAGACGGCAGGAGCCTGGGTTAAGGCCTAAGCTGTTCTGTCATCTGCCCCTGTGTGAAACTTTGCAAGCCACTTGTCTAGACTGGTTTTAGTCAACTGATAGCTGGGAGTAATAGCATATGCCTTTTCTCACCCCAGCTTGTTCTAAGGCTCCAATGGGGTCATTCTTTCAATTAAATCTCACTGCCAACCTCAGTCTAAACTCAGGTCCTTTGGTGCTGTGTTGTCATGCTTAGAGGGTTGACTAGCTTCCTGTTGGGATGTGGGTAAGGCAGACATTAAGGCGAGTGTGAATTCTAGGGACCTGGAATGTCCTGCTTGTTCCCTCTCTGGGGAGAAGCAAAGATGACCAAGACGTGATATTACCTGCTGCTGTTCTCTCCCTTGAACTCCTCAGAGCAGATCTGAACCTAGAGGTTTGGGGGATGGCCCACAGCATCCAGAAACCTAAGCAACCTGGACCTGAGAGAATCTGGTATGTGTTGAGTTCCAGAAGCCTGTGAGACACAGATACGTATCTGTTATCAGATCCAAAGTCAGTGGCAGCTATAATCATTAGGTGGGGACATGGGAGTGAACAGTCTCCCGAGTACCACCGGATCAGACTCTGCACTGTGGCCAGTCCTTGCCCAGCACGGGCTTTTCATCCACAGAGCTTGATACATCCCCAAGGGAAGGAGAGCTTTACATTTCTCCCCTTCATTTCCAGATGTGGCCACAAAATTTAAGTCTCAGATTTTATTCTCCTTTGCTTATTATCTGAGCTTTTTTCAAAATTTTGCTTTTTGTTCTCCTGATGTCATAGTGCTGGCTGTCTCTGCATCTCTTTGGATCTACTGGTCCTTTTTCAATTTTTGATTTCAGCATATAGAAATAAATAATCTCTTCTGGTAAAACAATCACTTCCTTCTAAGTGAAAAGTTTGGTGGTGCCTGGACAGAATATTGAAAAGATGTATAAGATCCAAAGACAGCTTATATTTGGCAGGTGCTATGGGGTTTTCCTCTAATAGAAATTCTGTATTTAAGAGTGGTCTGTGTTTGTTCAGTAACAGAGTGATATTCAGATATTCCCAGCTTGAACAATTGTCTCTAGGTTTGGCTAAGGGTCATACAGAAATGAATCTTTTAATCTTTAGAGGACACTGAATGAGAGTCAAAACTGGAATATGAAGACTTTTGGCAATCGACCTGAATCCAAATTACTCTTCCTTTTCCCATGTTTGAGGATAGTCAGACTACCAGTCCCTGGAAATCTTTGTTTAGTTTGACACATGATATAGGGGTGTTGTGTGGGTACCTAAGGCCATCCAAAAACACTGTTCATAGACTGTCAAAAAAATGCAAATCTGTTCTGTTAAAGTGTAACAACCAATTCCAGCCAAGAAGGAATTTGCAAATTTTTTTAAATTTGAAGTATAGTTGTTTTATATGTTGTCTTAACTTCTGCTGTACAGCTATATATATATATATATATATATAGCTGAATATATATGCATATTCTTTTTCATGTTCTTTTCCATTATGGTTTATCACAGGATATTGAATATAGTTCCCTGTGCTATACAGTAGGACCTTGTTGTTTATCCACTCTATACATAATAGTTTGCGTCTGCTAATCCCAAACCCCCCAATCCATCCCTCTCCCACCCCCTCCCCCTTGGCAAACACAGTCTGTTTTCTATGTCTGTGAGTCTGTTTCTGTTTCATAGATACGTTCATTTGTGGCATATTTCAGATTCTACATATAGTGATATCACATGGTATTTGTCTTTCTCTTTCTGACTTCACTTAATATGATAACCTCAGGGTACATCCACGTTGCTGCAAATGGCACTATTTCATTCTTTTTTATGGCTGAGTAGTATTCCATTGTATGTATGTACCACATCTTCTTTATCCATTCATCTGTCAATGGACATTTTAGGTTGTTTCCGTGTCTTGGCCTTTGTGAACAGTGCTGCTATGAACATAGGGGTGCATGGATCTTTTTGAATTATAGTTTTGTCTGGATATATGCCCCGGAGTGGGATTGCTGGATAATATGGTAATTCTATTTTTAGTTTTTTGAGGGACCGCCATCGTGTTTTTGACAGTGGCTGCACCAACTTACATTCCCACCAGTGGTGTAGGAGGGTTCCATTTTCTCCACACCCTCTCCAGCACTTGTTATTTGTGGACTTTTTAATGACGGCTATTCTGACTAGTGTGAGGTAATACCTCATTGTAGTTTTGATTTGCATTTCTCTAATAATTAGCAATGTTGAGTATCTTTTCTTGTGCCTGTTGGCCATCTGTATGTGTTCTTTGGAGAACTGTCTATTTAAGTTGTCTGCCCATTTTTCAATTGGGTTTCTTTTTCTTTGAATTGTATGAGCTGTTTGTATATTTTGGAGATTAATCCCTTGTCAGTCGCATAGTTTGTAAATATTTTCTCTCAGTCCGTAGGTTGTCTTTTCATTTTGTTTATGGTTTCCTTTGCTGGGCAAAAGCTTATAAATTTGATTAGGTCCTGTTTGTTTATTTTTGTTTTTATTTCTATTGCCTTGGGAGACTGACCTATGAAAACATCGCTTCGACTTATGTCAGAGAATGTTTTGCCTATGTTCTCTTCTAGGAGTTTTATGGTGTTGTGTCTTATATTTAAGTCTTTAAGCCATTTTATTTTTGTGTATGGTGTAACAGTGTATTCTAACTTCATTGGTTTACGTGCAGCAGTCCAGCTTTCCCAGTACCACTTGCTGAAGAGACTGTCTTTTGTCCATTGTATATTCTTGCCTCCTTTGTCAAAGATTAATTGACCATAGGTGTGTGGGTTTATTTCTGGGCTCTCTATTCTC